TCCATAAAATTTACATCACAAATCATATCACTACCTCTACAATCATCCACCATCCATCTAATCTAAATCACTTCAAAAAACTTATAATACAACATAAAAAAACCTCCTATCTAATCCACACCCCCAAACACCCTACCATTAACAAATATACAAATAAACACAATACTCTCTCAACTCAACTAATTCTTATTATACTCCATTCCATATAAAAACCCAACATAAAAACCAATTTATTACCCCTACCATTCTTATTATTTTAATTATCTTCCACATACTTACCCCAAACTTGAACCCAAATCCTAAAACACCCTAACAATAAATCAACCAGATAAGAGTCCGATTGATGTGTGAGATATAATTATTTATTCAACATCTAAAAAATTTCCCAATCTCATTAATATCACACCAAAACAAACTAAATAAAACAATCCCAAAACAAAATTTTTTAAATTTCCTAACTAAACAATTCACATACACAGATAATCCGCGTAAATAAACGTCCTCATAAAATTTAATATTATTAAACCTATTACAACCCACCAATTACCATCTACACAACTAAACCCCCTACCCACCCTCAATGTTTGAACCACACCACAACACATATAATCTCAATCATCAACTCACTTTTTATAACCAAATTAAAAATAACAACCTTACCCAACACCACTCAAAAAAACCTATTACAATAACCAAACCACATATCCAAACCCAAACAAACACCATATAAATACCATATCCCTAACTCCCAACGCCTACACTTTCCCGCAATCCAAAACCGTCTTCGCCAACATTTCAGCGCAACCGCACACCCAAACCTTACAAAAAAATAACCATCCAGCCCCAAATTTTTACACAACTATAATTATTAAAAAAAATCCAATTCAAAAAATGTCCCACTTCTCTCTCTCTCTCACTCCACACCCCTTAAAACGATTTCTCTAATAAAAATAATTTTTTTTTTGTTTTCCCTTACCAAACATATCTCCACACCCACCCTCATAATCATATCTTCACCAAATAATTCAAACATATATAATTCTAAACAATATATTCATTGATAACACCCTACACGAATAAAATTCACCTTCACATATATATTCACATGTACTCTTTTAAAATCACATATATAAACCAATACTACACAATTAACACCACCAATTCCTGACCTATATACTCTAATATGTCTCGTTAAAGCACTATGATTTTATACAAAAATATTACCACGCTGAAAACAACTTCTATTATCACTGTTTCACATGCAATAAAATTTAAATTTATTTAGAATCATACCACTTCAAAACTAACCAATACACCGTCCTTCCTCCAAACTATCAACACAACCATTATTAATAATCACCTATAATTCATCCATATTCCAAATCTCATATTAATAAATCATAAACAACACTCATATTATATTTCTATACATACAATTACACACATACTATCCATCCCACCACATTAAACATTAATCTTTCACTCATCCTCCCCAAACACAATAACACCACAAAATTACTCTAATACATAAAATCCACTCTCCATTTTCCCCCACCACCCTTATTAAGAATTCTTCTCTTTTATATATAAACCAAAAACTAACAATATATTCACAAATCAAAACTATATCAATTTAGAAAAATCAAACCCCATCACATTCACCCTGAACACACCACCCACTTTAACACATTTATTTTGTCATCATCATGTTTTGGCCTGCTATTCTTCAGCTGGACAAGTAAGATGGCTAACATGAATGAACGCTGGCTGTAAGCCAAAATACATTACCATTTTGAAGAAAACTTTATGGACTGCAAAGACCTGGCACAGTGACGGATATTTTCTTCCAACATGGCGAACTGATCCAAAAATAAGCCAAATCTACAATGGAATGGTTCTAACAAATAGCCGTATCCAAGGTGTTAGAATGGCACACTCTCGCGCACTACAGTCCAGGAACCTGATCCAATCGAGAATCTGTGGAAAGAGAATGAAGACTGCTGCTCACTGTGCTCGAGCTGTTTGCAAGGAGGATAAGGGCCAAGAATATCCAGTGTCTCTCGTATGTGCAAAAATTACATACCTCTTCATCATTAAATTCTCATCAAAATTTTTTGGGCTCAACAACTAATTATCTAGCGCACTTTTTTGCGAATACAATAGCATTCCCCACTTTATCATAAATATTATATTTAATAAAAAAATAATAAAATATCCCAAAAATAACTAACCACTATCTCATGTTCCCACTGTTTTTTATTTTTTACAAAAATTAATTTTTCTGCCATTAGTTCGTTTAGTATTTTTGCAAACTGATAAACTTTTCACTTATTTCAAAAACCATACTCTTCTAATAATACAAATCACATAAGTTTCTTACTCTCAACCTCACCAATAAATTTAAAATCATTCCAATTCATCATTCAAGGACCCTTACCATCACCAATATCCTAACCCATCCTATTAATCTTACTACCTTCCCCACCACATTCAACCCAACCCATATCCCACCATATAACACTACTATATTATATATAGATATATATATATATATGATATAACAATACACCCTAACAACCTACACAAAACCAACCACCACCTATAAACACAAACCCCACCCCACAACTCACCAACCCTACCCCCAAACCAAAATAATAAACTCACTTACCCCCCTCCTACCAACTCTCAACCCCCACCAATCCAACACCCCCCATCACCTATCCACCCATAACACCAATCCCCAACCCTCCCCTCCCCCGACCATATCCAACACTGTGGTAACCTATACATTTACACCCCACCAAAAAAATTCCACCACCCCCCTCACCCCATCACCACTTCTTCCCCCCCAAACCCCCCCTCTTTCCCCCTATCTCCCAATTTTCTCACTTTCCCCCTTTCTTTTTTCCCAAATCATCCCTTTCACCTACACCTTCACCTCCCTATTCCCCTATTCCTCATCCCATTCCTTACTTATCCTCCCATCCTCCACTTTTTACCTTCCCCCATACACAAATACAACACGATCCCCCCCCCCTTATCTACCCACCCGCACCTGCCACTCACACAACTACAACAACCCCATCGTACCATAACTAAAAATCACCAATAAAACTTTAAAAACCTAAAACTTCCTACACTATAAACAACTTTTATCTATAAATTAAAAACAAACCCCCATACCATAAAACCACCAACTAATCCACCCCCCCCACTTTAACACCTAAAACCACACACCCTTCATACTCCCAATCCCCTCACTCACACTATGAAGTAAATAAACCTATCACCTAACTACTATAACCTATTTAAATAAACATCTTATCTTACAATATTACAATTAATCCACAACCACCAATACATATACCCCATTTACCCACCACAAACACCTAAAACTGAACCCCCTACCCCACACCACCCCCCTCACCTACCCCCCCCTTTGCGACTACCAACCCACAAACCCCCCCCAAAACCACACCCACTAAACCCCCACTACCCAACTAATATACATTAAACCAACCCAAAATATATCACTCCCCATCCTATTCCAATAACCCCCTCCAGTCCTCCGTCTCTACCCCACCACTAATAACTCCAAAATCTTACCCACATCACAACCAACAACCTTACAAACAAACCACCACCACAATCTCCCCCAACCACCCCCCCACTTAAACCTCTTTCTAATACTACAACCATAAACTACCACAACAATAAAAACCCCTACCACCCCTATCCCCTCCCTAATCCCTCATACACTCCCAAATTCCCCCACATACAACCACTCTCCCCAACTTCTATTATTACCCCCTTCTACCAAAACTACTTACAATAAAATATAAAACCATCCTCAACATTCCAATCTATCATATTCCCCATCTACCTCAAATATTCTCCTTATTCTTACTACACAAACTAATCCTATCCACCTTTTTCAAACCACTTTTACCACCTCTACCTCTAAACATTTAAATTTACCCCCAAAAAATTCTACAACCCATCTATATATCCATTATCTTAACATTCATACAATATACTAACATCTCTATAACTCTTCCTACTCTCTCTCCATCATACTCTACCCACCAACCATCATATATAAATACAAATTTAACATAATACATTAAATACTCTCTTTTGAACAACCCTCCCCCCCCTATACCTCCACAATACCCCCTCATATAAAAATATCCTAAACTCCCCTATCCTATATTATATCTCATAGAAGATACGCCTCCTTGTAGATATAGATATATCCACTATACACCATCTTTAAACCATTTCTCTTAATTATTTCCCCCCCAACTCCCTCACAACCAACTCTCCTCCTAACTCTACCATAATACCACTTCCGACACCTCACTCCTATTACCCACACTCACACTAAACACATTCCCCCCAAACTTTTTAATCATTTACACCCTTACTAAATACCCTAATCAATACCCAACTCCTATTCACAAACACCTCAATATACCCCTAACACCCCCATCTAACCACACCATACCACACCACCTAACCAACACCAACAACCACCACCAAAACCCACAACAACCACAACCCCACAACAACAACCCCCCCCCAACCCCCCCCCCCACCTAAAACCCACCACCCCCACATCACCCCCCCCCCCAACCAACAACCCAACCCCAAAAACACATAAATCCCACCTCACCCAAACCACACTACTAACCTACAATAAATTCAATCTTTTCCACTTCCCCTTTCATACTCACAATAAAATCATTAAACACAAACAATATCTACACACACAAGTATTAAATCAACAATATTACAACACAACATCATTAAAACCAACAATTCTAAACAACCATAAAATACACATGATAACTATAAAGTGATACACCAAACACAACAAACAACACAACCCAAAAAAAACAAATACCCCCACAACACCAAAAAATATACCACACAACACAATAACCCCCAAACAACACAAAACAACCCAAAAAACCCTCTAACAAATAATAAACAAATACCCCCACACACCCACAACCCCCCCACCCACCCCCACCCCAAACCCCCCACAAACCCACAACCCACCAACCCCACACCAACCCCCCCCCCACCCCACCCCACCAACCACCCCCACAACACCAACCCCCCACCCCCCCACCAACCCCCCAACCCCCAACACACACACAACCCCCACAACCACCTCACAACAACCACCACACACAACCACCACCACCCACCACCAAACCAACCCACCCACCAACAACACCCCACCAACACAATCACACAACCCACACCCCCACCCCAAAACCAAGTCCACTCACTCTCTCTAACCCAAAACAAACAACAACCCCCACACCACCCACCCACCCAAACAAACCCCACCACCCACAAAAACCAAAACAAAACACCACCCCCCCCACACAAAAACAAACACACACCCCACACAAACCAACCACACAAACCCAACACCAACACCCCCACCACCCCACCCATACACAACCTCAACACCCCCCCCCCCATATATATACCACCCACCCCCAAACACACCCCCCCCACCCCACAAACCCACCCCACCAACCCCAACCCCCACCCCACCCCCCCCACCCACCCCCCCCCCCACCAACCCCCAACAACCCCAACCAACCACAACACCCCCCACACCCCAACCCCAACCCCCCCAACCCACCACCCCCACACCCACCCCCCAAACCCCCCCCCAACCACCCACCCAACCCCCCCCCCACCCACCCCACCCAACCCCCCACCCCACCCCCCCCCCACACCACCCCCCCACCCCCCCCCCCCCCCCCCACACCACCCCCCACACACACACACCCCCCAAAAACCACCCACCCCCCCCCACCCCCACAAAACACCCCCCTACCCCCACCCCAACCCCCCCCCCCCCCACCCACCACCCCACACCCACCCCCCACCACACCACCACCCAAACCCCCAACAACCCCCAACCCCAACCCCACAACCCACCACCCCCCCAATACCCCACACACCCCACCCACACATACACCCCAACCAACACACACAAAACAAAAACAACCCAAAACCAACCAACCCCAACCAAAAAACCCACAATTAAAAAATACAACATACAACCAAGCCCCCAAACACACAACATACCCCCAACAACACACCAAAACCAATCACCCAAAAAAAACCTACCCACACCACACACACACTACCTACCACAATAATCATTAAAAAAACTGTATCCACTACTCACAAAATATTAACCTAGATGAGAGTTACACGCAACACATACCTACACAACACACATCACCCTAACCACAAAATCCACCCTACACACAATCACTTACAACACCCAATACACACACAATCATCTAAAAACACATACCTACACACCAAAATCATCTAAAACACCAATCCCATCTAAACCAACACAATCATCTACACACACACAATCACCCCTAACACAAATACTACACAAAACACAAAACCCACTACACACACACCCCTCCTCTCTCCCACTCTCACCAACATATACACACAACCACATCACCCAACACACACACACACAATCATTACACACACAACTTCACCTTACAACAACAATCACCCTACACCACACACATACTTACCACACCAACAATCAAAACAATCATTACAACAATACTACCACACAACACCCACACACACCAACACACAACAACATCACTCTAACACAACACATACTATCACACACAAAAACCAACCCCCCACTTAATAACAATAAATCTCTCTCACCCTTATCCTCTCTCTATTATTCTACGTCTCTATCTAACGTTGCTCTCTTCTGATGAGACTATCTCTCTCTCTCTTATTCTCCTTCTTCATCCCTTATATCTCTATCTCTTTTCTCTCTCCTTCTCTCTCTCTATCTTCCTATATATTCTCTCTTCTCCTCTCTACTCTCTCTCTCTATCTATTCCTCTCTCTCTCTCTCTCTCTTATCTATCTCTCTCTCTCTCCTCTCCCTCTCTCTCTATTCTCCTCATCTCTCTTTCTATCAACTCCCTCATCTCTCTCCTCTAACACTTCACTCAATATCTCTCTCTCTCTCTCTCACTCCTCTCCTCACTCTCTCTCTCTCTCACTCCACTCACACTCAATCTCTCACTCATCAACCAATCTCATCTCACACACACAACTCACACCTCACTCTCATCTTCCTACTCTTACTTCTCTCTTCTATCTCTCTCTCTCATCTTATACCCTCTCATTCTTCTATCTCCTCTCACTCTCTCCATATTCCCTTCTCTACCCTTCTCTCTTCTCTCTCCTATACTCCCATCCCGTCTCTCTCAACTCCTCTCTCTCACATACTATCTCTCTCTCTCTCATCTCATATCTCCTTCTCTCTCTCTCTCTTATATCTCTTCTCTCTCTCTCTCGCTCTATCTCTCCTTCTCTCTCCTATCTCCTCCCTCTCTCTTATCTCCTCATACTATCCACTTCTTCTCTCTCTCGACCTTATCTCTCCTCTCTATCTCTCTTCTCCTCTCATCTCTCTTATTCTCCCCTAATACTCTATCTTCTCTCACTTATCCCATACCCCCCCTCCCCACCCCCAATACACCCCAACCTAAATACTATTATTCCCCCTTCATTCCATCTTCAATAAAAAACCCTCCCACAACCCCCCTACTATCCCCTACATAAACCAACATCAATCCCTTCCCCGTACTCCAAATTACAATAACAACACACTCCTCTACATACATCCCTAACATCACAACAATACCACACTCCAAATACCATATAAACCAATTTCCACATCCTCTTTCATACCCCTCCCACACATTATATTAGTAACACCCAAAATAAAAAATACATAAAAAACCTTAAAACATAAATATACCCAAAATAATCAGCAATCATATACAAAATCCACATTCAACATCTACACCAAATTACATCAACCATACCAATACCTATTAGAACACAACAACACCAACACAAATACAAACCCATACAAACACAACCAAATAATAATAACAACTTACTCATCATACATGACACGATACCATCCTATCCTTTACAATACTCCAAACCATTTTGTTTAATATAAATTACGTTCCATTTGAGAACCCAGCTCATTAAACTCAGGTTAGCCATGCGTATTTGCGTAAGTTCACTAGTAGTTTTAGCAATGCATATAATTTATTTCGAAAATTGCTGCACGCTCTCGCGCTGCTCTCTCTCTCGCTCACCAAGCACTAGGAAAAACTTATATACATATATCCAGCGCATTACGGTTGCCAAGCACATCCAATTATCTATTTATCTAATCATTCACCACCCCCTACACCACCTCCCCACCTGCCTTTTATATATTAAAACCTACTATTCAATCTAATACATTCAAAAATTTATCATCCAACATACGCTCAATTTATCACCATATATCACAACCCTTTTCCAATTACGTTATGTAATTTAATATATCATCTCCCATTTTGATCTCTATATATCTCCTCTATTATCTGCGTACTCCTCTCTATCCTTATATTCTGAACCTCTCATCTCCTTCTATAGCTATATCCTATCTCTCTCTCCTCTCGCCGTTATATTTCTATCTCAGTCGATGACTGTCTTATATCTCCTCTATCTCTTTCTCCTCTCTCTCTCTCCATATATCCTCTCTCTCTTACTCAATTCCGTACTCCTTATATATCTCTCTCTCTTATCTCCTTCTCTCTCCTCTCTCCTCTCTCTCCTATACCCTTCTCTCTATCTATACGTTCTCTACTCTCTCTCTCTCTCTCTTATCTCCTCTCTCTCCTATCTCCTCTCACTCTCTATCGCTCCTCTCTCTTCTCTCTCTTCTCTCCTCCCCATCCCTCATCGCTCTTTCCTCCTATCTCCTCTCTCTCTCTCTCTCTCCTCTATCCTCTCTTTTCTTATTCTCCTCTCTTCCCTTCTCTTCTCTCTCTATCTCCTACTCTCTCACTCCAACTCCTCATCTCTCTCTATCTCTCTATCTCCTCTCTCTTCTCATCCTTCTCTCTCTCTCCTATCTCCTCTCTCTATTCTTTCCCCTCTCTCTCTCATCACTATCTCCTCTCTTCTCTCCCCAAAAATCCTCAAACTCCATTCTCACACACACACACACACACACAACACACACACACACACCCCATCACACAACACACATTTTCACACACACAACCACTCCTCACTCTCTCTCTACTCAACACACACACACACACACACAACCTCACACACTCCTCCTCACAAACACAACACAACAACACAAACACACACACAACAACCCAACAACAACAAAACACAAACCCCACAAACAACCACCACCCACCCCAATCCCCCCCCCTCCCCCCCCCCCCCCCCACCCCCCCCCCCCCCCACACCCCCCCACCCCCCCCACCCCCCACACCACCCCCCCCCACCCCCACCCCCCCCCCCACCCACCCCACCACCACACCACCACCACCAAACCCCAACCACCCACCACCCCCAAACCACCAAACACAACCACACACCCCCCCCACAACCCCACCCCCCCCCCACCATTCAATCCCAATCCAACACAAACCCCCCCCCCCACCCCCCACACCCCCCCCAACCCCACAACCCCAACCACAAACACAACCCCCCCCCAAACACCCCCCCCCCACAAACCCAACCCACCCCCCCCCACCCCCCCCCCCCCAAACACACACACCCCCCAACCCCCCCCACCCCCCACACCCCCACACCAAAACACACAACCCCCCCGACACCCCAAACTCAACGTGCACCCCCCACCCACCCACAAACCAACACCCCCCAACCACACCAACCATCCACCCCCCCACCACTCCAACACCACCCCCACCACCAAACAACCACCCCCCACCCCACCCCCCAAACAACCCACCAGCAACAACCAACCACAAAACACACCACCCCCCCCACCCAAACACAAACACCCCAACCCACCCACAACCCACCCAAACCCCAACCCACCCCACACACCCCAAAACCCCCACCCACCCCAAAAAACCACCCCACCAACCACCACCCCCACAAAATCACAAACCCACACCAACACCCACCACACCCCCCAACAAAACCCCAACCACACAACCCAAAAAACCCCCCCCCCCCACCCACACCCCACACCCCCCCTCACACAACAACCCCCCCCCAAAAAACCACACACACATTACCCAAATAATTCAAAAACACAAACTATACCCTACATGTTACACAACTAACCAAACCCAAAAACTATACCCCAACCCCAACCCCCACACCCCCCCCAACAACCCCAACCAAACCAAAACACACCACAACAACCCCAACCCACCCACAAACTGATCCCCCACAACCGCCCAAAACCACCCCCCCCACCACCAACCATCACCCCACCCCCAAACACCCCACCACCCACCCTCCCCCCCAAAAACACCACCCCCAACCCCACATCAAACACCCACCCAAAACCCCTCAAAACCCAACCACCACACACCTCCCCCCCCAAAACCCTCCTATCACACAAAAACCCCCCCAACCCACACAATTAAACAACAACAAACAATACCCAACCCCCATCCAATCAAAATCCCCACAAACACATAACTACCACCAAACCCCCCCCCAAACCACAACCCCCACACCCCCCCTCACCCACCCCACCCATATTCCTCTATCACTCACCCCACATCACAAAAAAAAAATTCCACCCAAATTCAACAATCAACCCCCAACCCCCACAATAAATCCAACCCACTTCAACCAAAAAACCCATATTTCAACCCCCCCCCACCTTCAACCCCCCATCAACCTAACAACCCCCTTCAACCCACCCCTCCACATCTCCAAACCCCCCCCTTCAATACAAAGAAATTACACTACTAAAAATACAAAACCAATAATAACACCAAAATATTCCCACACCCCACACACTTTAATCTACCTCCATTTCTGGTCAACTAACCATCCTTCATTACCATAACCTCTTCCCATATACCCCTAACATACTATTCTTCTCTTCACCCAAACACCCCCCATTACACCACCCATATTTAAACCACTTACACCCCTTAAAACCAAAAACCCCTTAAAAATCAATCTAAAAACCATCTCATCTTCCCCTACTATACCCCCCCCCCCCCTCCCTTTCAATATCATCACCCTTCCAAACCCCCAACAACCCACATATATCCCCAAAAAAAACCATATCATATAAATACAAAAAAAAAAAACCCCATATAAACCCCCCTATAACCCAATCACATATAATTATCAAACCCCCATTAAAATACCTACAATCTCATCAACATAATATCATTTAACACCCCCCCACCAACCAATAAATACACTTCCAATAAAACTCTTAATAAAAACCAAACCCCCCCAAAAAAAAAAACTATCCAAAACACCAACCACCTAAAACCCCCATCATCACCTAACCCCATCTCCTAACAAACACCAATCCCTAAAAATTACCAGAAAATACATAACCAAAGACATCCATAAACAAATCTCCACCCCCCTCCCCCTTATATAACATACCCCCCTATATTCCCCCCTCCCTATACTTACTTTTTAAATCTTTCTTTCACCCCATAACCAACCATCAATCACCATACAATTACTACACATCTCATTCTCAACCTTAAATTCACACCCAACTACCCCCCCTACACACACCTAATCCAATCTTACTAAAATGTCCACATTGCCCCAATCACACATCTTCTGCACACTCTCTCTCGCGCACTCTCAACGTCACTACAACAGACTTTATATTATACGAGAAAATCAACCACCCCAAGATTTACACCCATATCCTATTCCCCTAGATTCCAACAATTCACCATACACCCCAAAAAACCCCCACCCCCCCATCACCTATTTTTCTCCTTCCCCACACAATCCAATTCACCACAAATACTACCCCCCCAAAATCCCCCATCCAAACCCTATCCTTTTACTGTGTACCATAAAATCCCATGTCTCTCCATTCCAAAATCCCAAAAAATCCCGTCCCACCTACTCTACCTTTGCTCCTCATACAACTCCTAAACCCCCTCAACCATCACTTCACCTTACATTCCAAATCCCTTCCCAAACCCCCATTCACCTACAAAAATCCCAAACAATACACACACACTTCAACACATCTCACACTCTCTACACAACTCATAAATTACCTCACCCACACAACCAAACTAACCCAAAATCTCACCCCAAACCAACACCAATACCAAACCAATAAACACCCCCAAACACCCCAAACTCCCAAACCAATACCCATCATCCTCCCCTCCTACAACCCCCACCCCATCATATCCCCATATACCCTATTTCATTATATAACTTTATCATCTATATAATAAACCTCATATATATATATATAGAGAGAGATAGATATATAGATGTTTCCCCCAAACAAATTAAACAACACCCCACACCCCAAACCCCCCAAAAATAATAACCATAAAAAAAAACCCCCAACCAAACCCAAAACCTTACACCCCCAAATACCATTCAAACAAACAATACCACCCTACCCTCAAAAATCAATCACATCAATAATAAATCCTCCACACCACCTCATACAACAATCCTACCACCACTATCACCATTAAAAACAACCAAATCACTAAAACAAAAAAATAAATCCCAAACACATACTAATTCCAATTAACTCAACTACATATAGTACATCACCATCCAAACCTCCCAACCCCAACCAATCAATCCCCACTACCACAACTCCAAAACCCCTCCCCAACCCAAAAAAAACACACACACACAAACCCCAACACCCACCCCAGATTAGATTCCAATCCATTATATAAACAAATACATCCATTAAACAATATCAAACCCCTCCCCATCTCCACACCTCACTATCCCAAACACATACTACCAATCAACCCCCCCCCCTTCTCCCCCAAACAAACACCCACCCCCCCCATAACAACATCCCCCCCCCCCAATTCACCCCACCCAACCCCCCACATTCTATAAAACATCCCCCATCCCTACCCAAATCTCCACACAAATCCCCTCCCCTCAAAACTCACAAAAACAATAACCCCCCAAAACCCAACAACCCCCCCCACCAAAAAAAACCCCCAACCACCCTCATTATACCCCAAAAAACTAACAACCCCCCCACCCCCCCCACCCCCCCACACCACCACACCCAACAAACCCAACCACCAACCCCCCAAAAAACCCCCCCCCACCCAACCCCAACCCCCCCCCCCCACCCCCCCCCCCACCCCCCACACCCCACCCCCCCCCCCCAAACAACCCACCACACCCACACATCACAACCCACAACCACCCCCACCCCCAAACAACCCCCCACACCACCCCCAAACTCCCCCACACACACCCCCCCAACACAACCCAACACACCCCCATAAAAACCACCCCCCCCCCAAACCCCTCCCCCCCCAACAACCCCCCCCTCCCCCCACCCCCACCCCCAACAACCCCCCACCCAACCCCCCCCCCCAAACAACCCACAACCCCCCCCCAACCAACCCCACCCCCAACAACCCAAAACCCCACCCCCCCACCACACAAAACAAAAACAACACCCCCCCCCCAAACCCACCCCCACAACCTCCCAACACCCCCCCCCATTTCCCACCTCCCACACATACTTAACATAAACAAACATCACATTAACAACATCACACATAACCACACAAAAAACACCACCTAATCACCCCCCCCCCCACCCCCTCTTCCATTCCCCCTTCCCCCCCATAAACCCAAATCAACCCCACTTTTCCTTCCTCACCCTACCCCTCAAACACAAACCTCCCTCCCCTATAACCCCCAACACCCCACTCCCCTTTTTACTAACTCCATTAAATCACTCAACCCCAACCCATCACTCCCCCCCCATTCCTCCCCCACTACTACCCTTCTACCTCCATCTCCCCTTCCAACAATTTTCATCTTCCTCTCCAACATACACACCCCCTCACATCCATACCCCCCTCCCCCCCCCAAATTCCCATCCCCCACCCCCCCCCTCCCCATCTATTACCATTCAAACCATCAATAACCTATACCTTCATTATTATCTTAATACCTCATGAATTTAACCTCTCCACTAATCAAACTCCCTCTTATCCCCAAAATACCTTCTCTTAACATTTCAACAATACCTCCCCAACCCAATTACCAAACACCAATACAACCACCATTACACCCCCATTTTCTCCATCCAATTACCCCCACACCCACCCCCTCTTCCCCACCCATCCCCCTATTCCAAAACAACAATTTCATACAACCTTTATAATAGCCCAATCTCTATCTCTTTACCTCCATCCTCCTATTATTTTTATTATTCTATAATTTCTACACACATAATATATCATCCCTTTTAAAAATTACACTGGTGGAAATTGAGTCTCTATTTAAATGATCCACCCAAGTCATACCTCCCATTGCTTAGTCCTATTTTAAACATGTATAGTCCTTTCTTTTCGGCCTGTGTTCTAGCTGGTCCCTGTAGACACGGCTCCTGATGAAAAGTACAACTCTTCGCCCGAATGCATCGAGTTCTCGTAGACCCACTGCTTCAAACGCACCCATGCCATTCCTTACACGGGAAAACCTTAATCTGTAGATCCTCATCGATCGCTACAGCTTTGGTGTATGTTGGGTTGTTGTGTTTTGCATGACCCAGGAATGTTTGTTGGGTTCATGCTGTGCTGTGATAGGTTCAATAAGTCTTGCCTGCATCCCCGCGAAAGCCGTTGGCGTGTTCTGACTCGCCCTAACACATTAGACTCCTCCACCAACCATTATATATTCTATCGAAGTTAATATGAACTCACCAACATACAAGCCGTACCCTTAAAAACAATCACAATCCCAATACACACTCCCCCACACACTAATACTAAAACACCTCCATCACTACACCCCCCCCATACCCCCCAAACCCCCCAATACTAATACCATTAAAATTAACACATCCAACCCCCACCTCATTCCCACACACCACCACCCACACCACCCACCCCCTACCCCCCACAAACCCACCCCCCCACCCATCCCACACACCCCAACACCCCAACACACCACCCACCCCACCCCCCCCCCCCACCACCCCCACCCCCCCCCCCACACACCCCAAAAACCCCCCCCCCCCACCACCCACCCCTCCACCCCCACCCCACCACCCACCCACAAAACCCCCACCCCACACCACCCCCCCAACCCCCCACCCCCCCCCCCCCCCCCCCACCCCCCCCAACCCCCCCAAACACCCCTCCCCCCCCCACACCCCCCACCCACCCACCCCAAACACCCCCCCCCCCCCCCCCCCCCCCCCCCCCCCCCCCCACCCACCCCCCCCCACACCCCCCCCCCCCCCCCCCCCCACACCCCCCACCACCACCCCCACCCCAACCCCACCCCCCCCCCACACCCCCACCCCCCCCCCCCCCCCCCCCACCCCCACCCCCCACACCCCCCCCCACAAACCCCACCCCACAACCCCCCCCCACCCCAACCCCCCCCCCCCCCCCCCCCCCCCCCCCCCACCCCACAAAACACCACCCCCCCCCCAACCCCCCCCCCACACACCCCCCCCCCACACCCCCACACAACCCCCCCACCACCCCAACCACCACCACCCCCACCCACACCCCCACACACCCCCCCCCCACCCCCACCCCCCCACCACCCACCACCCAAACCCACCCCCCACCCACACACCCCACACCCCCAAACCCCCCCCCCAACCACACCACACCCCAACACAAACCACCCCCCACAACCCCAACCCCCCCCCCCCACCACCCCCCCCCCCACCAACCCCCCCCACCAACACCCCACACCCACCCCCCCCCCACCCCAACCAACACCCCACCCACCCCCACCACCCCCCCCTCCCCAACCTAACCCACCCCCCCCCCCCAAACCCCCCCCCCCCAACATACAATTCTAACACCCACACAACCACCCTCAACCCCCCCACCCCCACATATATCCCATCCTTCACCCACCTTCATCATTTCTTACATACCCCACTTCCCCCCCCCCCACCCCCTACTAACCCCATCCCCCCCCCCCACCTTACCCCCCCAAAAAATTCCTCTTTTTCCCATCCTCCCTCCCCCACAACACCCCTCACAACTCAACACCTACACTAAACCCTAAATTGCCCCTCACATTTCTTCCCCCACCCCATATTTCCTCCTTATCACATTACCTCATCCCCCCCCCACTCCTCCAAAATTCCTCCCCGCATCCCCCCCTCACATAAATTCGTACCCCTCCCCCCACGCCACCAACCCCCATCCCCCCCTCTGCGCCACCCCCCCCATAACCCCCATAGTTATGTATTCCAACACCCCAAACAAACCACCCCCCCCCCCCCCACCACAAACCCCCCCAACCACAACCCCCCCCCCCAACCAATATAACCACAGAACCACCACCCCCCTACTACCCCCCAACCCACCCCCCCCCACCAACCACCCCCCCCACCCCCCCCCCACCCAACAACCAAAACCCAACACCCCCCCCCCCACACACCCCACCCCCCACCCCCCCCCCCACCCCCCCCCCCCCCAACAACCCCCCCCCACACCACCCCCCCAACACACAACCCAACCCACCCCCCACCCCCACCATACCCACCCCCCCACCACTCACCTAAACCCACAAACCACCACCACCCCCACAACCACACCTCACCAACCAACCACCCAAACCCCCTCCAACCTACCAACTCAAATCCCCCCATCCCCACCCCCATGTGTCCCCAATACAATCTCCCATATATATAAGAGATGTATCTACCTCCTTATCAACATCACCAAAAAAACCCCCCCCCAACCACCCCCCCCCAC